AAAATACAAATTGCAAAAAAAGAAAAAGAAAGAACGAGCTTACTGGTTCCTTAAGACTCCTGCATGTTTGGCATGACTAAGCATGTTCAGCATCTCCTTTTTCTTTTTCCTCCCTTTGTGTCAAATGCTGGAATTTTCTGTAATGAATTGTGCTGTGAGAGCTCATACAGCACAGTCTTGCCCACGACTTGGTTGTCAAGCCCAGGTCTAAGCTCTTGTTCCCACAGGCAACAAGTATGTACCTCGGGCCATCCTGGTGGACCTGGAGCCTGGCACCATGGACTCAGTGAGGTCGGGACCATTCGGCCAGATCTTCAGGCCAGACAACTTCGTGTTCGGTATGTCCTCATGGTCCATGGGAGCTGGCCAAGTGACTCACCTTCTTCCTAATAGCCACACACTTTACTGTCCTCAGAGTTAAGTGCTGAGGGGAGAGTGTGTCCACAGATAGCCCCACTCCTGGCCTAACCTGATTCAGTCTAGGGGAGGTGGTGTCTCTGGTCCCTCTGTGGACAGCTCAGAGATGAATGTCAGCCTGCAGAGACTGCAGTGGCCTCCATTACAGAGCAGCCTCCAAAGGGAAAGAACAAAGAGCAAGAAGAGCTTCAAACAGGGCTTGTGGGCTACAGGTAATTTCAAAGGTGACCACAAGTAACCACTTCAAGGAGCCAAAGGCCAGTAGCACAGCTTATGACCAAGGTGCAGACAGCTGCTTAGAGCCCCTCTTCTCTGATCCCATCCTGCCTTCCCCTTGCCTGCTTAATTGCACCGAATTAGAATGTTTATAGAAGGTTCTGTTCTTAGTATTACAAGCATTTGAGTTTTGTTAAAGGCACACTATTTATTCCTCATTTTTTTTTTAACTTTATCCCAGGTGTTTTCCCCCCTGAACCTTTAAAAACTTTAAAAAGTTATTTTAATTTTATTTTTAAAACTAATACATACAAATATAAAACTTGAACATATTAATGGATTACCATCTAATGTTTAATACATGTTAGATTGTGTAATGTTTAAAGAAGGTTAAACATCTTCATCTCCTCTACCTTGTATCTTTTTTTTTCCCCAATGGTGACAACTTTCAAAATTCTTTCTTGCAGCTGTTTGAAAAGTACCAAATATTATTATCTATACACACCCTATGATCAATAGCATACCAGAGACACTGGTTTTCATCTAACTGTAACTTAGTATCCATTGATCATAATTCCCCATCCCTCCCAACCCAGTGATTTTGAAGGTCATTAGTACACTGACATTTTTTCTTTAAGTAACAAAATCATATTTGAAGAAGAAGAATCTGCCATCTGATACTAGACCTGTCTTTTCCACCACAATCCAAATGATAGAATCCAGAATTCCTTATGTATCTGTGGCTAATATTTTCTATTCCTCTGGCAGGCCAGAGCTGTGCAGGAAATAACCGAGCAAAGGGCCACTACACAGAGGGAGCTGAGCTGGGGGACTTGGTCCCGGTCAGGAAGGAGTCAGAGAGCTGTGACTGAAAAACCAGCCTCTACCTCAGAGCAAAGTCTGTCCAAGGAAGGGGGTGTGACCCTTGTCCTTGGAAAGACCCACAGAGCACAGACCCACCCTGCTGAGTTGTTTATCTACAAACAGGAGAGATGGTGTCCCATCAGCATGAGACAGGGAAAATACTTGGGATGCCAGATGACCCTCCCAGTAGTTTATGGTGGTTGATAACATGTTGGGAAACCATGTAGTCTAGCACATATGCCCTTTGAACCAATCAGTTCAAATGAATCCCCCTCTTGTACTAGCCAATCACCCTTACCCAACTTGTTCCTGCCAGTGAATGTGCTAATCATGTTTTAGAGTTGTTTTATGATTTTCCCGTGGTATGTGATGATTTGCTAAGATGTGATGTATGTGAAGTCCCTGCCTTCCCCAAAGAATGTATAAAACTGCTGCAAACCCTGGGCTCAGGGCCTCTCAGCGTCACCAGTTGCTGTGTGAGTGCAGAGGACCGAGCTAGCTGGCAATAAACACCTCTTTGCTGCTTACATCCATCTTGGTCTCTGGTGGTCTTTTGGGGGGGTCCCGAATTTGAGCATAACATGACTGTCTCCAGGGCTTCCAGCTGACCCACTCTCTGGGGGGAGGCACAGGCTCAGGCATGGGCACCCTGCTCATCAGCAGGATCGGAGAGGAGTACCCAGACCGCATCATGAACACCTTCAGCGTCATGCCCTCGCCCAAAGTGTCAGACACGGTGGTAGAGTCCTACAACGCCACCCTCTCTGTCCACCAGCTGGTGGAAAACACAGATGAAACCTATTCCATCGACAACGAGGCCCTGTATGACATCTGCTTCCGCACCCTGAAGCTGACCACGCCCACATATGGAGACCTCAACCACCTGGTGTCAGCCACCATGAGCGGGGTCACAACGTGCCTGCGCTTCCCTGGCCAGCTGAATGCAGACCTGCGCAAGCTGGCAGTGAACATGGTGCCCTTCCCCCGCCTGCACTTCTTCATGCCGGGTTTTGCGCCCCTGACCAGCAGGGGCAGCCAGCAGTACTGCGCCCTGCGGTGCCCGAGCTCACCCAGCAGAGGTCATGTCCTTCTCTAGCATCCCAAAACTAACAGCAGAAGGGTGGGGAGGGTGAGATATTTCTTAGCAGCTCTTCAAAAAACTAGCAAGGCTTCCTCTGAGTCACCATTATGATGAGGCCTTTGTGGTCAGACCTTCATCTTTACAGGCTTCAAGCAAGGACAATGAAACAATTGAGAACAGTTTCGGCCTTTTCCTTCAATTCTGAGTCCAATGACTGCCTAGATTAGAAAGACTCCCAAATCCTCAGAGAGGAACTGGAAATGTTCAGGTTTTGAAGAGAGCAATGGGCCAGCATGGAAACAGCAGGTCCCTGAAGGATAACAAGACAGGTATGATATGTGGAGAGCCAGCTCCAGGCACAATGACTAAAAGCCACATCTTTGGAGCTGTAAAGAAACTTTCTAGCTAATGTCTTTGTAGCAGCCATTGTTGGACAACCCCACCCCCACCCCCATATGTCTTTGTTCCTCACTCTTCATGGACATGCTGATGACTTCCCACTGCAAACAATTGTAACTTGCCCCAGGACTCATTTGCCCAGCCTGGTCAGCATCTTTGGAAGGAGGACTTGTTTAAGGACAGATTGGAGGCTAAGTAGCCCAGCATCCCTGCCTCCCTGGTGGGCCACCTCTGAATTGTTCTACCTTGTCTCTTACAGATCCCTTGGGTTGAGACCTTGCTGCCCACAGCAGTGACCTGCAGCAAACTCTTCATGGTATCACATTATTAGCAACAGAATTTGTGGCATCAAATATAGTCATCCCTTGGTATCCAAGGAGGAATGGTTCCAGAACCCTCCCAGTGGATACCAAAATCTGCAAATGCTCAAGTGCCTTATATAAAATGGTGTAATATTTGCATATAACCGGCACTTCTTGCTGTATAATGTAAATCATCTCCAGATTACCTATAACACCTGATACAATGCAAATACTGTGTAATAGTGGTTATGCTATTGTTTAGGGGATAGTGACAAGGAAGTAGTCTGTACATATTCAGTACAAAATTAAAAAAAAATACATTTGATTCACAATTAGTTGAACCCACAGATGGGGAACCCACAAATATGAGGAACCAACTTTTAAAAAAAAACAAATTTAAGCTTAAAATGATGCCTATTATCATGCCTACATAACAACAGTTAGGCATAAATGATGATAGACAAGAAACATCATTTCTACACAGTCAAATCAAGTACTATGGGAAACAAAGGAAGGAACCACAGAACCAGGGACAATTTGGAGTTCCTTTGAAGGTCCCCAGCCACACAAGGGAGGCCGCCTCTGTAACTTAAGTGCTCAAGGTCTAATAAACACCTTTAAAAGAAAATGAAAATCAATGTTCTTTTATAGCTGAAAAAAAATTAGCCTTCCAAATTGTAAGTGCTTCTTTCCCTAGGTCTTTCATGAGTTTACTTGCTCTCTTTGCAAAGACTGTTCTTGAGACAGTGGTGAGCAGGGTGGGGCATTGTTTAAATGCCAGCATGGGGATGGGGTGCTGGTCAGGCCCAGATTAGTTGGGAAGACCCTTAAGGAAGAACAATCAAGGCAGCAGTCACTGGGCCAGGGCCCTCTGGGGGTCTACAGCCCACCCCCCACCCCCGCCCCTTCCTGCCTGCACCTATTGCTGCAAACCTTGCCCCTGCGCACTCTCAGCAGAAGGTAGAATTATTAGGCTCTACACAGTCTAACTTGCTTCCTTGCCACAGGGAGGAAAATGTTGACGTCAACCTTTCCATAAATGCCATTTGCCTTGAAAGTGAAACAGAGCGGATCTTGGGCTCTGGAGCTTCTGGAGAAATGACCAGCACTCTTGGCACTGGCTTGGCCTGATGGAGGGCAGCAGGGCTGGCCCCACCCAGATTCCTTGGCAACCCAGATCTTGGGGAAATGTGGAAAAAGCCTGTATTCAGAGAGCAGGCAAGGAGGGACCAGACAGTTGGAAAGTACAGGAACGAGCTCCACAGAGGGTCCTGGAACTTCAAAGAACAGGCCAAATCCATGGGCAGGGAGGTACCCATTGACCTGCAGAGGTTTAGGGTTTGGCGAGTGGAGAAGATTCAAACGGAGCCTAGACTCCCCACTTAGGAGTCTGCTGCTTGTTCATTTCTACTGTAATACCTCCTTGTCGTGAACAACCTCATGCACCAGGGCTGAGGATAATAGGGAGGGAGTGTGCGATAGTACAGGGAGGAGGGAGCATTTTTACCTAATGAGAGCATCACAGAGAAAGTGATTGTGTTAGCTTTCTATTGCTGTAACAAAATGCCTGGGATAAACAACTTATAAGGAGGAAAGGCTTGTTTTGGCTCACAGTTTTGGAGGTTTCAGTCCATTGTTTTTTTTGCTTTTTGTTTTGGGACCTGTGGTGGCATGGTACATTATGAGAGACTAATAGGGTGAAAGAAGCACTTCAAAGTTCTCCAGGAAGTGAAAGAAGAAGAGGGGCTAGGATTTCACTATCCACATCCAGGACATGCTCCAATGACCTAACTTCTTCCCACTAGGCCTTACTTCTTCTTCTTTTCTTTTAAATATCTTTATTTTGTTTGTTTATTTATTTTTTATGTGATGCTGAGGCTCCAACTCAGGGCCTTGCATGTGCTACGTGAATGCTTTACCACTGAGCTACAACCCCAGCCCCCACAATTACATTTTTGAGGGGTAAAGCTTAAAGAGAATTTGATATCCAACCAGGAGTCGCATCTTCAATTTTGAAAGGCCCAGACTGGTATCTGTATTAAAAATGGATGTTCAGGGTGCTGGAGGTATAGCTTGGTGGTAGATCATTTGCCTAGCATGCACAAAGCCCTGGGTTCCCTCCCTGGCATAAAAAAAGGTGGCTTAAAAACATTACTATCTATTCACTCTAAATTATTATTGTCATCTGATGCAAAAATTTACAAACTTAGGTGAAGTTGACATTCTAAAAGTAATGTAAATTGAGGTTCAGGTTTATACTATATTTTTATTTTATTTTAAAGAGAGAGGGAGAGAGAGAGAATTTCAATATTTATTTTCTAGTTATCGGCGGACACAACATCTTTGTTTGTATGTGGTGCTGAGGATCGAACCCGGGCTGCACACATGCCAGGCGAGCGCGCTACTGCTTGAGCCACATCCCCAGCCCTATACTATATTTTTAAAAGGAAGCTTTTTAAATGCTTTTAAAGACATTCCTCCATTTTCACAGATGCTTTTTATTAAGCAGTAGTAGGTGGGGCTTCATTGTATGGGTTTAAGGGCAAGAGAAATTGGGGGTGACCAGTTCTCTGGGCCTTCTCTAAGGGGTCCAACAGATAGGATGTGAGTTTGTTTCATAAAAATGGAAATAATCTTATTGTCAGTATGGTTCTTAGGTTTTCATTATTCTGTAGAGGAAACTAAAGTTTTCAAAATCTCAAGGCCCTGCTCATTAGACTGACTAGATATATTTTAGCTACATTATGTGTGTCACCTATAAATAGGGCATCAATCAACAGTAATCCTCACCCTTAACATGCTATGTGTTCACAGGGCACTTTTCACTAGAGCATTCTCACCAGAATCCTTCCTGTTGGAGCCCTTTGAAGGCAGGTGGAGATGAAGGGCAGGCAGAGAGAAGGGTAAGATCCCAAGTCCTTCCATAAAAGACATGTGTGGGTGTGTCTTCCACTGAGAATGCATTCTCTAGTCTGAATTTTGTCATCACAGTGCCTTCGGTGTAAGAGTGATGGAGCTAAAACACTGCTGGTGATCTCAGGTCTAAAGCAGGAAATGACCTGTAGCTGGAGGATATCAGTGTCCCTTTCTATCACTTGCTCAATTGCCAGCAGAGCTGCTCTTTTTCTTTTTTTTTTTTAAGTGATCTCTGGATTTATTTTTTTTTATTATTTTTATTTGTCCTACTTAGTTGTACATGACAGCAGAATCCATTTAAGTTCATCATACACAAATGAAGCACAACATTTCAATTCTCTGGCTGAACACGGTATAGAGATGCACCATTCGTACAATCATACATGTACCTAGGGTAATGATGTCCATCTCATTCCACCATCTTTCCTACCCTCAACCTCTCCCTACCTTCCCTTTTGCTCAATCCAAAGTTTCTCTATTCTTCCCATGCCCCCCACATCATAGATCAGCATCCACTAATCAGAGAAAACATTCGACCTTTAGTTTTTGGGGATTGGCTTACTTTCATTAGCTTAATATTCTCCAGCTCCATCCATTAAACCCACAAATGCCATGATTTTCTTTTCTTTTAATGCTGAGTAATATTCCATTGTGTATATATACCGCAGTTTCTTTATCCATTCGTCTATTGGTGAGCATCTAGGTTGGTTCCATGGTTTAGCTACTGTGAATTCAGACCTGCTCCTTTTTAGACACCAAGACAAATAGATAAAGGGAGAGAGTGAGAGAAAACCAATTATTTTCCCCCAACACTCTTCAGATGTCTATTATAGGGAAGAAGAGAACTAGTTGGCTCTATTTCCTCCTGTTATTATCTGCTCAGTGCTGTACAAAAAGTGTTGCTTTGTGGCAGCGTGGTGGGTTGGGGTATTTACACTGGAGAGGAAAGCAGGAACTCACAGCCCTCAAATGAGTCACCTTGGGCAGGGCAGGCATTATTTGAACATCTGCATGTGTGTTTCTCTGATTATATACTAATACACATCAGGGGCGGTGCTGGGAAGGAGGAGGACAAAGAGCTAGCATGAAGAGGCGTAGGCTGGGTGGCAGGAGCAGGCATATTTGGGAAGAACGCTCACTGCCAGCCATCCACAAAGCAGACAGTCCTCAGGTGCTAGGCCTGCCCTAATCCATGTCATCATTGTCTGTTTACTGCCTGTCTGTCACTCAATGCTCAGAGCCCATACAGTGCCTCATAGCCACACAATGTAGCAATCACAGATTTCCATTTTCCAGATATGGCAATACAGGCTCAGAGAGGTGAAGTGACCTGTTGAATGGCTTAGCCAGGAATGGCATCAGAGTGTGTTCACTCCATGGGGTGATCAAGTACTCCATGGTAGGTGATCAAATGCCCACCTGTTAGCAGAGCCCATGACCCCCGTAACATCACTCCCTGCCTCATTCTCTGCTTCTGTTGGCCTTAAGTTCCACCTTGAATCAAACAACAAAGTCCAACAAGCAATTATCTCCAGAATATCTTTGTGCAACTGTGTAATCTGCGATAGTCACCAGGAGCAGGGCCATTTCTGGGGAGGTTCTGGAAGCCCCTAGCTGATGGTGAAGGGCTATGGTGTGGAATTGGAGGCAGGAGTGGAAGAAGGTAGAGGCCAAGTCCTAGAACACTGAGAATAGCACCAATGAGACAGCTGTCAAGGAGGGGCCCAGCAGCTTGTGGAGGGGAGAGAGGAGGAGTCTAGGACATCCATGCCCACCTGAGAGAAGGCACCAGGCACCTGCTCGTATCTGGGGGGATCCCAGAGGTCTGACTTCCTAAAGCTGGGCTAATGAAGACAACTTAAGGCCAAGAGTCTACTCATGGATGACTGGCTTTTCACTTCCACCTCTAATAAGGAGCAACTATGGATATAGCAAGTAGGATTCATATTTATAATGACAGCCTCACCTTGGGCGTTATGGAGGCATTTTTGCCCCATAAACTCGACCCCCTTTCATATATAGCTTCTCATTTCCTGCTCACAATGCTGGCTCCAGGGCACCTGTAATTATCATCATTTTGTATTTGGAGAAACTGGCTCTAGAGAGGAAAAGGTGGAGGCTCCTGTTCACCTGCCCCTGTTAACCATCATCTTGGAGACTAATTAGGGTTGGTGCTGACCTCATCCTGCCCAAACCTTTGAAACTCACCTGGGCTGTTGCCAAGTGAGTGGAAAGAATGTAGACTCATTCACTTACTGGCTTTGTGGCCGGTCAGGTCTTTCAGCCTTGCCTTCTGATCTGTGAAGTTGGGAAAGTAATAATGCTTATTCTAGAATAGTGCTGGTTAATAGAAATACCCATGAATATGAGCCATCAACTTTTTCTAGTTTTCACAAGTTAAAAGAAATGAGTGAACTTAATTTAAAATATTTTATGTCACACAGTATACCCCCAAATCATCGTTTTGATTTCTAATCAATATTTAGTGTATTTAAAAGTCAGTAATGAAGTATGTTACACTGTTTTAACTACTAATCCCATGAAAGCCGGTATGTATTTTAAATTTACAGCACATCTCAATTCAGAGGCCTTACTTTCAAGCACTCAACAGCCACATGTCTCTAATGGCTAATGAACTCACAGGTCTGTAAGGTTCCCTGAGGATTGAAAGATCTAAAGTATGTGAGGACAGGGCTGGATGTGTGGCTCAAGTGGTAACGAGCTCGCCTGGTGTGCGCGGGGCACTGGGTTCGATCCTCAGCACCACATAAAAAAATAAAATGAAGATGTTGGGTCTACTGAAAACTGAAAAATAAATATTTAAAAAAAATTTAAAAAATAAAGTATGTGAGGACATTATATTACAACGCGGCCATTATATTCCTCCTTTCTCCTCTCTCTGACACACACACACACACACACACACACACACACACACTCTGGGATTTTCCATATTTAAGAGGCCTTTACAGGGACCCAAGAGCCCAAAGCAGACATGTGATAAATCCAGCAGTAAGCACTTTTCCTAGCCCCTCCCCACCGCCTTCCTTATAGAGGTGAAAACCTACCCACCTTGCTGTCCTTGAAGACAGCTGCCTGTCACCCACTCAGCCCTAGTCCCATCACCCCCCACCCTCCTCCCCGCCCTGCGCCCCTCGGGGCGTTTATATCAGCCAAGATTCCCACCCAGAATAGAAAGAGAATACAGCTTGGCGTCCAGAACCCTGCCCAGGATGCAGAAGCCCTTGACGAAGAGCTGGAGACCCCACTGAAAAAGCGTCTTCAACTCTGGGATCCCTATTCCAAAAGGGAACCCCAAATGTTCTTCGCCCCTGAGAGGCGAGGACGGTGTTTGGAAGCAGCTCCTCCTCTGGTTTCGGGACCCAGATCTCCAGCCCCCCTCGGGGCTCAGGGTGGGCAGGGTGGGAGGGGGACGGGACGAGACTAAGGACCCACCCAGGGGTGCAGCTACGCCCCTGGATGGGGAGGCGGCGCCGGCAGACCGGGCCGGAGGTCTGGGCACCGCCCTTGGCCGCGAGTTGCCAAGGCTGGGAGCCCTCCCTGGACCCTGCGGCCGCAGTGCCGCGCCCGAGCGCCCCCGCACCTCGCACCGCGCCCCAGCTCCCTCTCGCGGTGCCGCAGTCCCTACCGCGCCGCCCCCCAAATCCCCGCCCCTAATTACGTCACTGTGGGCCGGGCGGGTCTCGGGATATAAAAGCCCGAGCTGGGGGCTGGCGGCGGTCTCAGCGCTGTCCGTAGCCCTCCGATTTACCGCGAGCGAACAGCTCCGAGGGCCAGCGCCACCACCCGCTCCGCCGCCGGCACCATGCGTGAGATCGTGCACATCCAGGCTGGCCAATGCGGCAACCAAATCGGCGCCAAGGTGGGCGTGCTGCTGGGGAGGGGGCCGGGAGGAGTCGCGGACCAGGGCCTGAGACCCCTAGGGTGCGGGTCGGAGGCTGGGACGGGGGCTGGGTGAGCGTGAGGAAGCCCTGGGCTGCATTCCACCCCGAGGCTTCTGGGTGGGGCCTGTGGAAGACCTAAACCTGCCGCGATGCTACGCAGCTGCGTGTGCCCTTAATCAGGACCCTTTAAATTTCCTTGGGATACAATCCTTTTGCAGGGTACAGTTGGCATTCCTCTGGGTGAATTAATTTCTGAAATTTGAATCGGGGCTACAGTAATATGTACCCATCCTTAGGCTCGTGTGAAATATAATTTGTATATTTTTGTCGTTTGAATGAAAAAAAATGCAATGTCATTGAACTGACAGATGTTAGAGAAGCTTTTCTTTGGCTGTCATGTAGAAGCGTGTTAGATAAAGTCTCAACACGGGTACTGTCTAGACGTGATGACATATAACGTGATGGTTTTTCTCGTCTGCTGGGTGGCAGGTGACTACATGGGTGGGGGCTGTAATGCCCGACCGCAGTGGGGAGGCAGCAGCGGGCATGGTGCATAGTTGTGGGCGGGCGCCCTTACAAGGACGTGGTCTCTTTCAAAACCGCCATATTGCCCACCCCAACCTCCCCGCCCCCTTTTCTGCTACAAATTCACAATGGACTGTAAGTCGTCATGATGGCAAGTGTCTTCCACTGCTGCCTGGCACCTTGACAGGATCTTACCTACCGTTGCCTGCCTATTCCCTGCCAGGGTCAGTGCACAGAGGCCAATATGTAGGTCAGTGGCATAAAACTACCCTGTTGTAAGCTGCGTGGGGTTTGTGCCAGGAGTCAAGGATCCCTGGAGGCAGCTGTGGAGCAGGGGATGGGGGCGCGGCCACCTGTTTCACTGTCCTATAAGCACTTATCTAAAGATTCATCCATCAGCCAGGATGCAGTGACATTCAGCCCTACCTGAAATGACAGAGTCCCCCTGAGTCCACTTCTTCATAGAAGGAGATTTACTGTGCACTTTCCTCCAGTTTCTCTACCAGCTTTTCAGTCTGCAGCCATATTATGGCGGATTTCCAAGCCCCTCTGCAGCAGCTGCTGCAGGAAATAGGGGCTGTAGGACCCTGATTGCTGCTGTTCCAAGTCAGCCTTGGTGACAGAATTCTATGCCAAAATGCGATTTTTTTTTTCTCATTTTAGTTTTGGGAGGTCATCAGTGATGAGCATGGCATCGACCCCACTGGCAGTTACCATGGGGACAGTGACCTGCAGCTAGAGAGAATCAACGTGTACTACAATGAAGCTGCTGGTGAGTATTTGAATGTGAACCTTGCTTTCCACATGTGGGTAGAGGAAATGTCCTAGGAGCATATGAATGACAAATGCTTCTTGCATATTCATTGAAAAATACAAATTGCAAAAAAAGAAAAAGAAAGAACGAGCTTACTGGT